CTCATACATGGTAAAGAATAGACCGCGACTCTAAAAGTTTTCTGTTTTTTCACCTTTGTACGGGAGGTGGCATAGTCAAATTATTCAGGCAACAGCTGTGCCTTGTCACTCAGCAGCGTTCAACAAGCTCTGTGTCAGAACATGTTGCATGGAAAACTTAAGCAACATCCTCTTTACGTTCTTTAAGTTTCGGTGACCATTTTTTATTTGTTTTGCCTATGAAAGTTGCGTCGCAATGTTTTCATTATACTCTACCGATGACCTCATTCAAATCTTCAGTGCTTTTCGGTATACCTTGGGATATACGTTCATGGCCGCACACCTGCGCATGATGGAATGAAGGTCTTCTACAAAATGCAGTGCGGTATAGCAACGCCACTCCTATAAGCAAAATGGGCAGAAAGAGTTCAGAGGCTTAAAGACTGCTGCAAAGGGGGGATGCTGCTATTGCCACCAGTGCAGCTTGTTCCAAGACTGAGTTTAACTGCTTGACAACAAGGCATAGCTTCTATATAAACAGTGCATGAAAGTGGCTTGGAGACAGATTGGGGGAGGGGACTTGGAATATTGATTTATTTGTTGTCAACCATTAACTTCCAAGCAGAGGTATATTGCTAAAGAACTGGTCAACCTTCACTGACTTGTTGCCAACATATGCTGACTGCCACCTGCAAAGGTGGGAATAATTCTATGCAACTTTATTAATTGCAAGTCCAAGTAAACTTTTTACACTCAGTAATTAGCACATAGTTTGGAACATCTTTGCATGTGCAGATCGGCTCAACAAAAAGAATTCTGCAAGATGGGGAAAGGTAGGATGTCATGTGAACTTAGCACAGGTAAATTTTTGGCCTTGTTGGTGTAAGATTTTCATAAAGTTCAGCGTAGCACTTCAAATCACAAGGATGAGACAGGCTTGTGTATGTTCGGCCTGTCCCATCTTCGTCATTTCAGTGCCGCGATTAACTCTATAAACATCTCATGTGCTCTTCGTGCCTTTGTTTGCTGCACACTCCAATCTTGCGTTCTTTGTGTAGAGTTTTGTTCAACTGGACTCCTGTTCAATTTGGTGTTGTGTACATAACAAACAGGTACTTTAGGGAGCTAGCCATGAATAATCATCCTACCTGTGCAAAACATATAGAAGGTCGTAATCATTCTATGAGCTCTGTGTTCACTTGAAGATGAAGGTGTGACCAGAAACTAAATTAAGAGCGTGTCCAGCCAACAAAATTCTCCGTCAAACAACACAATTAGCTCACATTCACAGGCACGTAGAACATAAATGAAATCCTCCATTGCTATATTTTGCAAGCAGACTGCAAGGCACAGCTGTGCAGCGGCAAACTATTGTGCGGAATAATACAGCAGAACAGTACAGAACAATACAGCAGACTGTTGTGGGAAACGATACAAACATTTTTTTTTTGTATTAGTCGCAATAATGTATAGAATACGTAAGTAAGCCTTGTTCGAAGGATGTTGTACTTTGATCACGGGATAAGATCTGTCGCCTTAATAGAGTGACGGGTTCTGTGGTAACTGTGCTGAAGCATGACTTCCGTGAAGAGGCTACGTCGTAAAGAGACAGCTGTATTCTTGCTTACAAAATCGCTCGGCACCGCTATACCTTCAGCATTTTCTGTGAAAGAGGGTTCTCATTTTTTACAGTGAAGACTAGGCAAATGTGTGTAATGCCCAGTATTCTCATGGTTGCTGAACGATCGCAGCGACAGAGTCCCCTCTAGTTACTTTTAGGACACACTATGCTTCAAATTACACTTTGAAATGTAAAACTAAGTTTTGTGGGTAATGAAAGGCACGTATGGGTCTGCTTTTTTTTCTCGGGTCTTTTTTTTAAGGGATCGTTTTGCACATGTTTTGGCGTTTGATCAGCTTTGACACCCTTTCCTAGCAGACAAACGGCGCGTCTAGAATTGTTTTTAATATATCTGTTTTGCACGTGTTTCAGCATTTGGTCCGCTTTGATGCGCCAACTCTCCCTATGCTGCTCCTGCGTCTGTTATAAGCATTTGCTGTATCCGTATTCTCATGTGTTCTCTCTTCAGTCAGAGCTGCTATTTTATTATCTGGGAATGCTAAAATGAATCACTTTTGGTTTGGTGAAGTTTGGCACACATAACAAATAATAATCTGACCCATGAATATCAGTGTGGGTGGCATGCATATTTGTGTGCGGTGTCCTTCAGGGGAGGGACCATTGCGTGACGAGAGCATTTACTGCCATTCCTCCATTTGTTGCTCCCTTACAAACTTGAGACTAAGTTGCTCCCCCGTTTTTAAACATGTCGGCCATCTTGTTCCGCTTAGTTCTTTCAGGAAGTAACAGCTGGTCTGAAAGACTAAAAGCAGTATTTGCTCCCATTTCGGCCGTTTTAGGATTAGAGTGCATGTATGGACATGTCATTTACATTCGTCGTCCGTTCGCGTCCCGTAATACCAAATTCGGTATATGTCGAGCTAGCGAAACGGCCGTGAGTGCATCGTGCGCGTGGCGTGGTGTCGGATGACACGCATTCCATGATTATCATACTTGCACTAGTCGTAACACTTTGCCATCCATTAACGTCGCCTAGTACCAAGTTTGGTATATGTGATGCTAGCGAAACGACCACGAGTGCACCATGAGCGTGGCGTGTTGTCATTACTTATCTGACATGCATTTCATTATTCCGACGTTAGGGTCTGCCACTTATGTTCGCCAAGCAGTCGTGTCATACCATGTCCGTTTTGCAATATTTCATGTGAACAGAACTCCCACAAGAGCAGGAAGACCATGAATTGTGAATCATGATATTCAAGACATATATGATGATTTTCATGTTATGACTAATGCTCATCATACAGTCATGTTATGGCATACTAATTTTGATATAGATAACAATATCGAAATGGCCAGGAGAGATTAGATAGATAGATAGATATAGATAAGTAGATATAGATAGAGATAAAGATAGACAGACATAGATAAGTAGACATAGATAGATAGATAGATAGATAGATAGATAGATAGATAGATAGATATATAGATAGATAGGATCAAAGTCATTGAAGTTCGCTAAGACATGCTTCGCAGTTGAAATGCTTGGAGAGTGCAAATTGTCGAGGCCTACAATACACATGCACCCGGTTTGAGTGACAACAAGCCCATGCGGTAAGTGCTGGGGGTGGAACCAGCATTGTAATAGTCTAGTAAAAACAATAGCAATTCTGAAAACAGACTTGTAAAATAAATAAAACAGTCTTGAATGGGTGTCATCGCAAAGCCGATTCACTCGAGCACTCCTGGCCCTTAAGCGTTTCGTTACTTTACTGAGCGAATTGAACAAGCATCTGATCCATTTTTTTTCTGTGGCAAAGTGTATGTTGCATCGGGATTTTTTCATGTGTGCAAAGAAGTCCGCGAAGTACAAAACAAAACTGGACAGCATGGACGGTATGTTATTTTACGATGATTCTGAAAACTTTAGTTTAATCATAAATGTCTGCTCAGCGTAAGGGAATGGCTGTATTTCGCGTGGCTATCGCAGGGCGTTTTCCGTTCATGCCTGTGCTAGATAATGATAATAGGAAGTTACGCAAAGAAATGAACACATAGCTCCTAAGTATTTCCTCTGCAGCAAATTTACTATTAAAGCACACCGCATGGTCAAACTCCTTGGGTCGCAAAACTTGGAACAAAAAGTGTCCGAAACCTATAGCCACAGACATCAACGCCCACCGAAGAATGAAGCTGGACTTGGTGAGGCAGGTAGAAACAACCAAAGCTGAAAATATAACTTTTTACTCAAATAGGCGTAATTTTATATATGCCGAAATTTACCATAAACTTGTTTCATGGTGTGCTTCACAGCTCGCTAAATGGTCGATTGCCTCAATTTTTTGTCGAGTTCTATAAATGGGGAGGTGTGGGGGGGAGGCGTATTTGGGTAATTAGCTATCAGAGCTTGAGTTTAGTTCGGCGTGTCGATTGGTTCAGTGCACTGCCAGGACAACGAGGTATTGCTCACTTTTCTGTAATGAATTCATGCGTACCTTCAGTAGTTTATTTTTTATATGTTCTTTACTGGTGTGACGTTTCAGAGCGGAACTGGCTGACATAATCTGTAGATAGCCACTCGTGTGACTGCCGACTGCTTTCGCTGGCGCACGGCTGGCGTGCCCTCGCCTTTGGTACCTTTGGTGATGGTACATGCGACGCGCTATGCAACGAGACGCTCTACTCTACGCTTTCCAAAGATATATTCTCAAAGCTGCTGTCTCGCTGCAATGGTTTCCGGCGATTGAGCAACGCGAGTTTTCGGGCTATCATGTTATTGTGCTCGTGAACAGTTGTTTTACGATTCCTTCAGCGAAATTTTTGAACGTATTGTAAGTACGTCATTTGGCTTATGAAACAACAATGGTTCTTAAATCTTTGGTTTTTGTTGTTTCTTTCCCGCATGTATTTAGTAGGTGGGAAGTCGCTATGAAATAGCGTATTAAGAAGGGCACCTAAGAGGACAGCAATTGAAAAAATTTTCAATTTCGAGCCATGCATGTAGGTCAAATGCGCGACGTTACTATACCGCTTCCGGTTGTGACGTCACATTTAATTTTTAAACTCTCTTTTCCTGTTGGTTGTCCCCTCCTCATGTCGATGGCGACTGTGGCAATGAGTCTCAGACTAATGTATTCATAGGCTTTTATGAATTTAACGCTACCAGTTTACCTATACTTTGCACACCGTTTCATTCGCTAAGACGGTAGCATTCAGGAAGGAGACGGATATATCCTTCATTCGGAAGTAACTGTAAGTTGTCCAAATGTCTGGGTGTGCAAGTCGGTAATTCACGAAACTTGAAATGCGAGTGCACAACTTGATCACGGACTTAGGAACTTAGGCTTGTTCTCGTGTTCCGAAGTTAATAAGTTATGTGTTCGTATTTAATGCAACCACGAATGTTGTGTACCAGATTGCGCTTTTTCTTATTTCGCAGAGTGCACACTCTGGGTATCCAGTGCCGTGCGAGACTCCATTCCCGACGTCTGCATGGAACAGTACGCCATTGTGTGTGGTAGTGGCGTCCCTATTTACGACAAGAATATGTGCAAGAATGCCTACAACTAGGCAGGAGCGCTCCTTATTTACGCAAAGCCACACCGAGAGCCGCCTCAAAGCAAGCTGTCACCAAACAAATATCGCACACTTTGACACGATGTTACTCCGCGTCTGCGTACAGGTGAAATGTGTGAATGACTTTCACGCAGTGCGTAATACGTTGTGGCGACCCATCGAACAGAGATCATGCATATTGTACGCCATGAAAACTGTGGCCCTTATCATAGTTAATCCTGGCCATATAGCAAGAAAGCAGCGTAAGCTGCCCGCTTCCATCGAAAATAAAGCTTGTTACCTGGGTTACGCTCCGAAAACAAGAAATAAAAGGTAAAATCAGTCATCCCGTACATGCGTATCAATAAGTACCTTCCAGTGCATTCAAATAAACTCGCTGGAAGTCGCTTGAATCGTCGTTTTTATCAGTCATCTTCAAGCCACAACAAGCAAATTAAGTAGTGTTTACTACATGTATGAGAGGTTATTCAGTAGTGGTTGTTACTTGACGTATGCCGCACCATTGGTGAAGATCCGGAGCAGGAAACACTTCAAGCACCTTCAAGCCACAACAAGCAAATTAAGTAGTGTTTACTACATTTATGAGAGGTTATTCAGTAGTGGTTGTTACTTGACGTATGCCGCACCATTGGTGAAGATCAGGAGCAGGAGTTTCGCTGCATATTTCTCCCTCATCTCGGAAGAATGTATGGACATTCCACACTCTCAGACATAGGAATGTCTCGTTTTATTAAGAGGGAACAATGGATTTCACTTAATCCGAAGATTTGTTTGTGTGAGTGAACACGGAAGAGTAAGTGAAATTTTTTTTACTCCTGTGAAACCCTCACCTTTTTTTAGAGTGCTGCTATGCATGTTAGTCATTAATAATTGAGGTCATCTGTTATCTATTTTTTGATTTTGGTAGCCCTTTGAGGTAAGACTATTTCAAGTTTTTAGGCACAGTCACACAGAGCCCTGGTTATACAGAGTACCTGCATGCTATACATAAAGAAAATCTATGCCATGGCGTTCATATACCGTTGACACTATCAAGGCGCTACGGTCCTTACTGCGCCATTAGACAGATTATATACTAACACTGTCTAGGCTTTCCCGTGCCATGCCCAGAATATGATTATAGAGCACGTGGAAGTGTAAGGCTCCAAAATTTCCATCCACAATCTGGTATTCCTTCACATACAGTGTAATGCGTAAATACACAAGCCTCTAGCATTTCACCTTAATCAGAGGAGACCACCGTGGATGAAACCGCACACTGAATGCATTCGATTTATGCTTGATTTCGTAGCGCATAGGAAGAAACCAGATAAGTTGGAGAGCAATGACATTATTATGAAAAAGGAGCTTGTCTGGTTTGAAATAGTTGAGCAGTTAAACGGAGCTGGCGTGCACTGATTGAACAGTATAGGGGCAGAAAAACAGGTGCTGGTGTATTGAGGCCATATTTCTAAGGTGGTCACTTTCGGCGACGCTGTTACATGGGCAGAATTTAAATAGACCCTGGTCAAAGGGCCCTTGGAATCAGCAAGGGACATTGCTTCTGACTTGACGTCTTGGCACTCTTGGAACGGGGTGCCAATATAATGTGAGAAATAGACGGCATAATGCTTCCGGCGCTGCGCCTCAAGAAATGGGATGTCTACAGGTTGTGTACTGCATGTCTCCTTCTTATGCCATGTCCGGAGAAGATGATAGAAACATACCCAGATGCATGTTTATTTCTCTGGAGCACATGTTACGGCACCAGCTAGTGCTTAGCCCACGAAGAGCTGCCAGCACAGACGCCTCAGCTCGCACAGATCCGGGCAAGACTTTCTCGCAACTTTCTTTCTGCTGAACGACATAAGTGCAAGTGATTATACCATAATATCTCAAGGCTTTATCAAGATTTCCTGCTTCGGGTAACTATGGCTTCTGCTGAATTGATGGCAAGTGAAACATTGCACAAAGTGAGGGTACAAAATGATCAGGCCTGCTCGAACATTGTAGTTCGGCTAACGAACCAAGAAAATCTTTACTCGTTTTTGCTAAAAGCCTACGAGACGCGTCTTCAAATATCTGATTTCGGTGCAGCATCTGATGCACCTGTGTTTGTGAACAAACAGTTCTGCCCAGCATCAAAGCGTTTGCTGGGCTTGACAATTGAAGAGAAACGTGCTTCAGGGTAGAATTTTGTGTGGGACAAAGCTGGGTAGTATGTGATACAAGCTTATCACAATAGATTTTTAGAGATAGATTTAGGTATCTGTATCTCTGTATCGAGATCTGTTTCCAAGACATGATTGTAACTCACTAGTAAAACACTTTTACGTTGTATTGATGATATCGTGTTGTAGTGCAGGGCGTCGATATACCGGTACGTTTTTCCTGAAATGGGCTAACGTGTTTAAAATGCGTAAGTAAGCCATTTTTGTCCTATTTTATGCAAAGGCGTACTACCGGTGAGTGACACAGTGAGCTGGAGTGGCGAATGGTTCTCCATAAGCACCGAGGGCCCCACCTGCTTTTAGCACGTGGGTCACTCTGCGATTTTGCCGTCAGCGCCTGACGCCAATGAAGGCAGAATCGCATGTTACAACCTATTTGAGATCACCTATTTGAGATCAAATTACAACCTATTTGAGATCAGCTCTATCTTGAGTGCAATACATCTTGTGTCTAACACACCTCGAGCAGAGAATAAAGGTATATTCGTAATCTAGTGCAGTTTGCTGATGATTCTTGCGATATTTGTTACTTTCAAGTTTCAATGCCTTATAACATAATCACAATATTATCCAACACCTGACCTAATAAATGTGTTGATGGAGCATAACAAACTTGGAAAGCAACAACATATTCCGATATATACTTGTATCTGTATATCCGTGACTGTATTCAGGGATACTTTTCATCGTTTTGCAATGATATCTCTAAATATCACGTTAAGAAAAAAAAAAACGAATGTATCACAGTATCTTTATTTTAGACTTACAGCCTTTTTTTCCATAGCTATTTTCGAAAATACTTTTGTAAGTATCTCTTCTCCAGACTTGGTGTAGAATAAGGATGGACAATGCTCGCGACGAAAGATGAGCAGTCACTAGTACTAAATGTCCACACCTCTAGTACCTTGAAGAGATCCGATGACCGTGGTTTACGCGTGCTTAACAAAAACTAATTCCAAAATGGCGCTAAGCTTTGACGCTGTGAATTGCACATATGCCTTTTATACCGGTGTCACACTGGCACTTTTAATCGTGATCAGGCCGATCCGGATGAGTTCCATGATCGCGATAAACTTCATGACCACTGCTACACGGCCCAAGCTATTGCGATTCGAGCTTGGGTCAGATGAAATGCCCCAGGTGGCATTCGCGGGCCGTAAAATGTGCCACTGACAAAACTTGACGTACGGTATACCTATACAGCCCTTTATCAGAAATGTTATACGTGCAAGAGCCGCTCGAACGTCAAAAACTTTGCAGGCCACTGCGATAGTAATTTCATAAATCCATCACTCGGTAAAATTTTCCTAGCACTTAGCTGTAGTGGTGTGTAGATTCTTAATCTTCCCCTCTTTTTTTTTCTGATGGCCCCCGTTTGTAGCCGTGTAGTCGCAGCGAAGCGTCAATCTCGTTGTACGCGCCAGTGTTGCACTTCGGCCGCCTCAAGTCTGTTCCAGTCGCACCTGCCAGCGGTCAATTACTGCTAAAATCTCTTCATTCGACCCCGAAGTGCGCGTACGTGGCGACGTATAGTCGAAAGGCTTGCGACACTCATAATCAGTTTGCTTCTAGGTGCTCTAACAGCTCCAACAGAGCGGGAGTTGAACTAAGCGCTGATGGCAACAGTCGACTGCTTGTCGTCTGCTTCTCCCGTAACTACATGTGGTCGATGCGAATCCTAAAATATGGAATATTTTAGATATTCTTTAAACATAAAGAGTTCAGAATTTGCTTTTTTATAAACATTTAGCTGTTTTAAAGCATCTTTATCGAACTATGCTCGATTTTCTTGTTTATTACGCTTTCAACAAGCTCAGCTAGGGGGTGCAGGCAGCAGCAATATTGCGATCTCCCAGGCAGATCACGATTCTCGGATCGTGATAGTCTTGATCCCGATCACGCCTGATCGTGATTAAAGGTGACCGTGTAGCAGCACCTAATCTCGATCGTGGTTAATCCGGATCGACAATGATCGCGATTAAAAGTGCCCGTGTGACACCGGTATTGGAATATAGAAGGACTGAAGTGTTTCCATCTAAGCACGCCGCAGTCTGCGCCAAACAAATGAGAGCAGTTGATTATTCTCTTGGAGAGCTTCACATTTTGGTACGAAATACCGACGGAGGCATGGTTCGCACATCAAAGTCATGTCATCAGAGCTATAAATTAGTGAACATTCCTTCAAAGAAAGACAAGGGGAAGATGAAAGCTTGCGATAAAAAATTCGAAAACATGGGGTTGGGTGCTAGAGTGGACTTGTTTTTTCAAGGGCGCAACTGATTTCTTTGGCGCGTGCGGGTGCCAAGGAAATTCATATAATGCTGGCGTGTGTGTGTGCGAGCGTGTGTGCGTGCGTTTGTGCAAGCGTGTGTGTGTGCGAGCGTGTGTGCGTGCGTGTGTGTGTGTGTGTATGCGTGTGTGCGTGCGTGTGTGTGTGTGCGCGCGCGCGAGCGTGTGTGTGTCTGCGTGTGTGCGAGCGCGCGCGCGTGTGTGTGTGTGTGCGAGCGCGCACGTGCGTGTGTGTGTGTGTGTGCGCTGCCTTGTGCTCTCTCCTTCAATCCAAACGAAGAAGGAAGAGAGGGAAACTACTAAATCAAGGAGGGGGTGTTGCGAATTGAGAAGCCGCCGTGGTTGATTGGGTGAGTCAGAATCAGTAAGGTATTCCGTGCAAACGAAAAACAAGGAAGAATAAAAAGTGAGGTTAGGGGAGGGAGAGGAGAGCGTAGTTTACGTGTTGCTAAGTTACTGTTGTCGGAAGAAGCATCACCTAACAATTGTAAGTTAAAAATTTCTAGAAGGAAGACAACACTTAATGGCTTCGGTTGCGTAGGTACCAGATCGCATGAACTCAAGAGCCCCTGTTGAAACATATATACCTGCAGGCTGAAGTGCATTCCAGCTGTGAATAAAGTACGGTTCTTCATATTTGCTTTGTCTTTAGGGACCCGAAGTTTGACGGAAAGATGTAGTATTTGAGGTCGTCAAAAATGTGACCCCTTACATTGAAATTCTGCGCATAATATTTTGGTAATTTATTAGCTCTGTCCACCTAGTTCCCGTTTAATTAACATTAAATGGCTGAGCTGTTTGGCCAATGTATCGTTTGTGACAAAATTAACACT